GGCATTCTTAAAAGAAAGGAAGGGAGAATATTTCTTTTAAAGCACTAAGTTTCATTGTTTCTTAAACCAATGGATTTTAACTGTACTACCATACTGACACATTAATAATGGCAAGCAAATAAGGAAAAGTATTTAAATTCTAATATATAGGTTTCAGTCTTTTAATTAATTAATATGTGAACTCAGAAATTTAGGTTAACAGAATTTTGCTCTCTTGTAATAGGTCAAAAAGTCTTATTTCATATTAGTCTGAACTAAAGACTTTATCTCTGTAGAGAGATTTTACCATCTACAAACTGGACAATTCAGTTCAAGAATATTTTGTCATCTCTTTTCAACACTGAACCTTTATACATTGTTTTGATGTGACCATATTTCTGTTTCAGATGTAATCAAGATGAGCCTTGTAAGATGAATCCTGTAAGGAGGTATTCTGTAAATCAACATACTACAACTACTAGGAGCTGTAAAAACAAAGGGTTCAGCTTGCAGTGAGACACATTTCTCCTGAATGACAAAGGAAATAATATCTTATAGCTATGGATGTTGTGAATGTCCCATAAATTAGAAAAGACTAGAAAAATAGGCAAATTCTCAAATGGCTATAGTGAAGTATGTTCCATTTACTGTGTCACCTTTGAAGTATGATACAAATGAACAAAAAGTATATAAATTAGCCCTCATTTTAAAGAATTGACCAAAATAGTGAATGAGTGTGAAACTCCTCTTCTCATAAAATAAAACATGTTAAGCAAAGATTAGTTGAAAATAAAAAATTTCTATTTACTTTGACAAGTAGTTACCAGAGTGGATATACTTATTTTTTTAAATACAAATACATTACCCTTCTACACACACACAACAGTTATAATTTCTCAAATTTCTAAAAATAAGTCTGCCAGAGAGAACTACAATCTCCTTAATTCATATGCCTTAACCCTTCAATGTAGAACCACAGCATTTTACAATGTAAACATGCAGAAAAGGGCTCTGAAAAGAGGGACCTGTATCAAGTCAGAAAGGAAGAGAGAACCTGATACTTTCTGGGTTGACTGAGATAAAACAAGATGACTTCTCTCATTTTATATTGTCACTAAATCTAAAATAATTATTCTAACAAGGGATAGGCTGGTTCTGATTTTTTACTTCTCTACCTACTGCTACACTATACTGGAAAAATAATATTAAAAACCCCAGTGTAAACTAATTTTACATGTGCCAAATATAGCATCTTCTTCATCATCTGGGACAAATAATACAAAATGTAAATCACTGATTTGAATTAAAGGCTCTAAGTCTTAAATATCCAATTCTCCAAAAACAAGCAATTAGAAAAAGAAAAATTATCAAATATTCTAAGCATTATTTTTTATACTTATAAGACTAAAGCCTTTGTATAAATAAAAAATGTACTTCTATGAAATACACATACAACACAAACTAATGAACTGCATTAGAAATTCATAAAATCTTAAACGCTTAGCCCAGAAGTATACATAAATTTCTGTAAGTGAAAAATATTGCAAACAAAAATAACTTATTACCCTATCATGATACAGTACTGGATTTATGAGTGCAGTAAAAATGAACACTGAGGTCACTTTTTGAAAAAAAATGGTGATTTTTCAAAGAACATCAAATACTTGATTTTTATAAAGTTTTTGGGGGGTTTTGACTTTATAATAAATATGTAATAAATATCTGTAGTACATAGTACGTGCTGAGTGCTTATCTTTCTCCATTTGAAAGTCTTTCTCCAGAGTCATAATGTCTTAGAGGCATCCCAGAGGGTGGGGAGTTGGGGTGTTGCAGCAAGTCCATTAACAAAGCAATCTTATTATCAATGTGCTCCTGGAGTTTATATATTCGCTGATCAATGTAGTCCGTAAGCTTCTTTTCCATCAGTTCCATATTTTTAGAAAGGATCTTTTCTAAGTAGAAACAAACAGGTTGCTCTTCCACTCTATAAGTAAATTAAAAAAAATAATATAAAATTATCCCTAATATTGTAACAAAAACAACCAAACTACAGTACAAGCAGCAGCCAACGTAAATTGCTGAAATTTGTCTCTACACTGTGCTTGGTCTCCTTACAACATGTTTCAGGTTCTAAAACACATACACAACAGACGACCACAATCTTGAATGCCCAAAGTATTCGCATTTCTTCAATTCTTTACTTAAGCATTCAACTGAAACGAGAATATAAAAATGAAGATGACAGAATTTCTAGCCTCAAAGAAAAGCAAGTCTTTAGAAAAGTTCTTTTTGATTCTGAGCTCAAAATCAAGAATGATCATGCTGATTTTTTTTTTTAAGGTCTCCATGTCTGTCTTCCAAGTAATTCCCCAAGCAACCATACAATTTAAATAGTTTTTCTCTTTTTTCATTCACACAACCTTACCAAATTACTGGAACCTCCTCTGAAAAACTGTGCTCAGGTTTTAGAGTGGACAGAAGTTTTCATTTCTCTGGGATAAATGCCCAGGAATACAATTGCTGACTCACATGGTAACTGTATCTTAGCTATTAGAAACGGCCAAAATACATTTTAGAGGGACTGTACCATTTTTAGTCCCCACCAGTGATGTATGAAAGATCCAGTTTCTCCGCATCCTGATCAGTATCTGGTATTCCTACCATTTTTTAAACTTTTACTTTAGCCATTTGAATAAATGTAAAGTGGTATCTTGTGGGTTTAATACGTGTTTCCTTAACAGCCACGAGACCAATGTTGATCAACTTTTCACGTGCTGATTTGCTATCGGTACATCTTCTTAGGTAAAACGTCTCTTTATGTCTTTTCCCCATGTCCTAACTGGATTTTTAAAATGTTGAGTTTTGACAGTTCTCTTTATATTTTAGATATAAGCCATTTGTTGCATTTGTATTTTGCAAATATTCTGTCCCACTTTGTAACTTGTATTCTATTCCCTTAAGAGAGTCTTTCACAGGGCAGAAGATTAACATTTTCATGGCATCCAATATATCAAGTTTTCAACTATCCTGCTTTTGGTGTCATATCTCAGAAGTCTTTAGGTCTCCAAGATTGTCTCCTATTTATTATTAGAAAAGTTTTATACCTTTATGTTTTACATTTAAGTCCGTGATCCATTTTTAGTTAATTTTTGTATAAGGAATGAAGTTTAGGTCATGTTTTACTTTTCACCCAGTGGATATCCAGTTGCCCCAGCACCATGTGTTAAAGACTATTCTTTTATTGAATCGCTGTTGCATCTTTGTCAAAATCAGTTGAGTAGATTCGTGTGGGTCTATTTCTGGGCCCTTTATTATGTTCCGTTGACCTATGAGTCTGTCCCTCTGCCCACACTACACAGTCTTGAATACTCTCCCTGTGTAAGACTTGACATTGGGAAGAGCGATTCCTCCCATTTCATTCCTCTTTTCCAAAGGTTGCTTTAGCGATTCTACCTCTTTTGCTTTTCATATAATTTTTAAAAATAACCTTGTCTATGTCTACAAAGTATTGTGCTGGGATATAATATGCATTACTTTAAGCCTGCATATCCATGGGGGAGAACTGACAACTTTACTGTGTTAGAAACTGAATTCGTAATTTAAAAGTTCCAAGGAAAGAAATATCCAAGCCCAGCTGGTTTTGTTGGAGAATTCTACCAAACATTTTAAGAAGAATTAACACAAATTTTACAATATCTCCTCTAAGATGTAGAACTCATGTATGAGGCCAGTATAATTACCCTAATATGAAACCAGACAAAGACAGTGTTAGAAAAATACAGAACAGTATCTCTAATGAATAAGATGCAAGAATATTCAGCAAAATATTAATAAATCAAATCCAGCATTATATAAAAAAGAATTATATAGCCCACGACCAAGTGGTATTTATTCTAGGTATGCAACGTGGGTTCAATATTTGAAACAAATGTAATTCACTCTATCAACAGACTATAGAAGAAAATGCGTATGTTCATATTAATTGCCAAAGAAAAAATACTTGACAAAATCCTGTACTCATCTATGATGAAAGGCACTCTTATAACTAGGAATAAAGAAACGCTAAGCCCCACGGTCCCTAAGCAATCTGACTTCTTTCCACCTTTTGGCATCTTTGTATGTTTGCTGTAGTACATCCAAAATTTTCTTTCTTTCTTTTCTTTCTTTCCTTTTTTTTCCTTCTCCCTCCCTCCCTCCCTCCGTCCCTCTCTTCCTTCCTTCCTTCTCCTTCCTTTCTTCTTTCCTTTCAATTTAAGTACTGTCAGTCCAATGATATTTAGAACAGGGACATTCCATCTCAGCTAGACTGAGAACTTTTAAAATCTGTTTTAGTTTTTCTTTGTTTCCATATCATAAAGCAGTTAGTTAACACTGATAAAGACTATGAACAGTTGAAGACTACTGCTACCTTTCCATTTCCACACTGAATAAGAACCACCTTTTTTTCCAATTCCGTACTAAACTCCTCAAATTTCAATGCTGTTGGAGACATTAAGGAAACGTCAACCAATACAAATACCTCATTTTACATGTGAAAAAAACTAAGCCTAAAGATTTAAACAGTACGAAAAAAGAGTTAATCCAGAACTACGAACAGAGTCCTGAATTCCAAGTCGAGTGCAACGTTTGGACACAGTACATCTACATAAGGACGGGGAACATGCTAACACTTAGGCACACCTCACTCAAAGCAGGCGGGCAAAACACTGAAGTTACGTGATCAGAGGGTAAGGGCCTATACGCTATAAATAACTCAGAGCTCAAAAATGTGTAGATGCCTCCAAAATCAGCCTATGTCACACAGTATCTACAAACACTGATACAAGGCTCACTTCATACAATTAGGCGAACATGGACATACGGTTACAAAGCTCCTCTCCATCCACACACGTAACTCTACTCCAGCCCTTACCTGATGCTCACTCTCCTTCCACAAAATGCCTGAGACATGCTCCACACCTACACGCCTCCAGTTTTACACACCTCCTCCATATTCTACTCTGCAGAACTTTCCTCTAAGTGTCTTAATGGTAAAATGTAAAACCTCCTAAAATTACTCTGGAAACATCTGTAGGCAGTAGTTTCTGAAAAAACCTGTTCTCCTCCAGCTGCCTCTCCCACCCAGCAAAGCTAAGCCCCAAATGCCCTGAGTACTTACGTGACACCAACAGTGCCTTCAGCGGGCGCGGTGATGCCTTCCTGCCACTTGCTGGTAGGCCCCACACGGAGATGGCTCACTTGGCCGCATAAATTCTGCAAGAGAGGCAGCAGCTCGGAGTTGGGTACATGTGAGCTGTCACTCGCCTTCTTTGGTAAGAAAGAAGATACTGCTTTCTTAAGATCATTCTCAAGAAGAGAATGGTTTTGTGGCACAATTTTACACTCCTGGAAGTTTGTGACGGCTCCTCCACCAGCTGGCTGCACACTTTTATCAAT